TTATGCTAAATCTACTCTGCCTGTGCTCTAGCGATGGAACAACAAAACCTGGATGACAGCGCATTTCTTTACAACATAGTTTACTGAATATTTCAAGCGCACTGTCGAGACCTACTGCTCAGAAAAAAAGATTCCATTCAAAATCTGACTGCTCACTGATTTTGAATTTTGAGAACTGTAATTTATATTTTCTTTTTATTTATTTATTTATTTTTGGCTCGTGGGCTTAGTTGACCCGCCACATGTGGGATCTTAGTTCCTCAACCAAGGGTCTAACCTGCGTCCCCTGCATTGGAAGGCGGATTCTTAACCACTGGACCGCCAGGGAAGTGCCTATATTTTCTTTGATAATACACAAATGTTTTGAGATGAACTGATTCTAAGTAACTGAATCTAATTAAAATGGACTCTTAACCCAGAAAAAAATATATTACTGCTCACTGACAATGCACCTGGTCACCGAAGAGCTCTGAGGGAGATCTACCATGAGATTCATGTTGTTTTCATGCCTGCTGACACAACATCTGTCCTGCAGTCCATGGATCAGGAGTCATTTTGGCTTTCAAGTCTTATTATTTAAGAAATACATTTCGTAAAGCTACAGCTGCCACAGATAGTAATTCTTCTGATGGATCTGGGCAAAGTTAGTTGAAAAATTTTGGAAAGAAGACACTATCGTAGATGCCATTAAGAACATTCATGAGTCATAGAGGTCAAAATATTAACATTAACATGAGTTTGGAAGAAGTTAATTCTCAAGGATGACTTTGAGGGGTTCAAGACTTCAGTAGAGGAAGTAACTGCAGGTATCATGGAAACAGCGTGAGAACTAGAATTAGAGGTGGAGCCTGAAGATGTGACTGAATTACTGCAGTTTCATGATAACACTATAACAGACGAGGAGTTGCTTCTTATGGGTGAGCAAAGAACGTAGTTTCTTGAGATGCAATCTACTCCTAGGGAAGATGCTGTGAAGATTGTTGAAATGACAACAAAGGATTTAGAGTGTAACATAAACTTAGTTGATAAAGCAGCTCAGGAAAGAAGTTCTGTGGGGGAAATGCTATCAAACAGCATTGCATGCTACAGAGAAATCGTTCATAAAGGAAGAGTCCATCGATGCAGCAAACTTCAGTAGTGTCTTAATATCAAGAAACTGCCACGGCCGCCCCAGTCTTCAGCAGCCACTGCCCTGCTCAGTCAGCAGCCATCAACCTCGAGGCAAGACCCTCCACCAGCAAAACGGTTATCACTTGCTGAAGCTCAGGTGATGGTTAGCATGTTTTAGCAACGAAGTGTGTGTTCAGTTGTTGTATACATTGTTTTTTAGACATAATGCTATTGCACAGTTAGCAGACTACAGTAACTTTTATATGCACTGGGGAACCCCCAAAATCACGTGACGCTTTGCTGCAATAGTCACTTTACTGCAGTGGTCTGGAAATGAAGCCATAGTATTTCCAAGTTATGCCTGTAACACATCCTAATGTGTCATATGTGACTATGTTCCTGACTTGGTAAAAGAGACTTTGCAAACGTGATTTAGTTAAGGATTGTGTGATGAGGAGATTAGCTCGGGTTACCCAGGTGAGCCCAATGTAATCACAGGGATCCTTCTGAGAAGGAGGCGGGAGGGTCAAGAACGAGAAGGATCTGTGAAGATGGAGGCAGAGGTCAGCGTCAGGCAGGACCACAAGCTACAAAATGCGGGTGGCCTCTAGACGCTGAAAAGGTAAGGAGACATTCTCTGCTGGAACTTGCAGAGAAGGCAACCCTGCTGACCCTCTCTGGACTTCTGGCCTCCAGAATTATAGGATACTGGGTTAAGTCACGAAGGTTTTGGTAATTTCTTACAGCAGCAATAGCAATATACTTAGAAAGGTAAAAACCTAGTTTTTAAAACGGCCTGCCCTGGTTGTTTGGAAAGAAAGAAGTAGTGGGGAGTGATATAAGGGGGAAAAGAACGTTTGGTTCAGAGACTTAAACATAAATGAAAATGTTCATTTTTAGGAAAATTATACAGACACACAACTTTAGAGCTAAAATCAGAAGATCGTGATAAAACATTCCTGTAGCATGCAGCAGTATTGCTAGGGAGAATCAAGAATTGGAACAGGATAGATAAATTTGTTTATTCGACAAATACAGTGCAGTGCTGTGCATCATTTCATAAGCCTCTTTCCTTGCTTATGAAACTCTGTGATAAGTCCTCCTTAGCCATCGAGTTGTACTAGAAAATTTCTAAGATCTCTTTTAGCTCTAAAGTCCTAGATTAAATCACAAATGAAAAAGACACAAGTTAACTTACTCATCACTGAGCCTCAAGCCGCTTCAATCCCTAGTCCCGGGTGGGGGGAGGTGGGTAGGAACTTGCCTGCTATCCCGACTTCTACCACTAGATGGCGAAGCTAGCCTGGTGATGCCCAATCTAAGGTCCCACGCTTAAAATGGTTTACGTTCCTTGAGGTACAAAATCGAATTTATTTTAAAAGCATGTAGGATTCATGGGAGGGATAGAAGTCTAACTGGCTAACAATATACTAGATGGTTATCACATAGAACTGATCACATTTAGAAAACCCACCTCCAGGCCACAGAGCCCAACCGGATGAGCTGAGGGCTGATAATGCTGTCTACAGCCAGACGTCTGGCAGGTGGTTTCCCAAAACCATTGTGGTGCCAGCACACTTCCACTATGACCTCGGGCGCTGCTAAACAGTCCCCCAAATGTGCTGCAGTTCATTTCAACAGGAAGAAAAATCTTCAGCCTGTCAAATATTTCCCATGTCTATCAACTACTTAATAATTCACTTGCAAAGGGTAAGCTCTCCACTGATTCTATGCTGAAAATAAATGGCAAGGAAGTTCATTGACAATGTGCCAATTGCTATTCAAAATATCATACCATAGCACTATCTTCAAGTTTAGTTTCAGGAATGAGACAGAGTAATGTCTGCTTGAAAAGTTTCGCAGTAGTGGAGGGAAAGGAAGATGGTAAAGTTACACAGTTGATTACTTTACAGTAACCCACAACTTCTGTTTCTCATCATAATAAAAAAATAAAACTTCCCTTTGTTTTTTAAGCTATTTTTCCAGGACCTGTATATTTCAATCCGGGCAATGGATATGCTGTGTGTAAATCAAATTTGGGGTGAATGGCACTGAGGGAGCCCCAAGGGAACCCTCTGCTGGCTCTCTCATCCACTGACATAGGAAATGCACAGCGTATGGCTCCTGACTTACGTTTTATCTTGCAAGTTGGCCTTTGAAAGCGAAGAATATCTGGAACTGTATTAGGTTTGCTACTCTTCAGGCTTTAAAGCATCTTATGCTCACTGTGCTTCTAGCTAAGCAAACATCTGTTAAAGCTTGTGAAGCTTTTGAAAAAATATTAGTTAAGCAAAGTCATAAAATAATAACATTCATACTTAACTTTGCTGTTTCCAATCTCTCATCTCAGATTTCTCATGTGCAAAGTTAACCCAGGCGAAGTAGCTTCAGCCTCCAAAATTCTGAGTCTGATCCCGCTGTTAAAATGCAATGTGCTTGCCTTGGATAGTTGAGCATTGGGCAGAGAAAGGTAAGTAATGAACTCAGCGGGGGAAATTAACTCACATTAGCAATTGATTACTTTAACATAATATGCACATTCTATGTGCCAAGCACGAGGCTAAACAAGCTCACGTTTGAAAACACAGAAAAGATTCTTAAAAGTGTGCAGGTTTCCAAGCTGTCTGGAGGAAAAACAGGAAGAGTATCCACATCCGACCTCTTCTCACGTTAAAGGAGCTCTTCTAGTTATGTCCTAATAAACATAAAATTCCATATGATGCTCACACACTACTTTCAAGCCTAGATGTCTTATTTGGCTGGAATTTTAACCTTCTCTCTTCTAAATTATATACCAGATCCTAAGCATAATTCTCCAAGCAGCAACATATGACTTCTATAACTCTCTGTGGAGACAAATGCACTTGGGATAAAATGAGAATTTCAGAAGTGAGAAGAGTTAATAAAAGGGAAAAAAAACACCTAGACAGGATATGCAGCTCCTTTCGAATCAATGACAGTGTAAAAAGGTCAGAGGAATCAGGCAGGAAGTGTTTCTACAACTTTTCAAAACCTTTTCTGATAGGGCTTCCCTGGTGGTGCAGTGGTTGAGAGTCCGCCTCCCGATGCAGGGGACATGGGTTCGTGACCCGGTCCGGGAGGATCCCACATGCCGCGGAGGGGCTGGGCCCGTGAGCCATGGCCGCTGAGCCTGCGCGTCCGGAGCCTGTGCTCCACAACGGGAGCGGCCACAACGGTGAGAGGCCCGCGTACCGCAAAAAAAAACAAAAACAAAAACTTTTATGATAGAAAATTTCCAAAGTAGAGAGAAAGCTAGAAAGTAGAAAATCACAACCCCACATGCCCGTCATCCCGCGGCAACAATTACCAATATTTTGACAATCTTGTCTCACTCAGTTGTCTTCCCCCACCTTTTTTTTCCCTAGAGTATTTTAAAGCAAGTCCAAGACTTTTCAATTTCATTTCATCGTCTCGCTTAAAAACTGTTTTGCGCTGCTCCTTTTGCTGACCTGTGCAGCCAGGTTGATGAGACAGCGAGAGATTCCTAGCTTTCATAGTAACTCTGCCAAAGAGGCTTTCAAGGACACGAGGCTTTCCAGGAATGCGTTTTACACCTTTTTTCAATGGCATCTGTTAATAATCATAAAAATAAAGAGGGTCCCCTCTGGTAGTGCTTAACTAGAAAGAATTTCATTTATATTCCAATGCAAACAATTTTACTGTTGATATTAAACGGTGCAGAGGCCGACACAAAGAATTGCCTATTTGGAAGAGTAGCTTCTTTGATGACTTAAAACTGCTAAGTTTGATCCCTATCTTTAGAGCCCTTCAAAGAAGCTCTCCCCGGGTGGGTCCTGCCTTTCTCGGGGGAAACTTCCAGGTTCTAGGGTCTCGCCCTGTCCGGGGGCGGGGGGGGTCTCCATCTTTACCTGCGAAGGTTACTCGGTCCCGGGGGCGCTGCCCTGCTCGAATCAAAGTGCCCCCGAGGCAGTCACCGACGCTGGCGAGGCAGGAGGGCAGGGGTGCAGCTGCCTCGAGCCTCGGGACAAGCCGGAGTCAGAGCCTGGGCGCCCGGCCACCGCCCGCCAGCGTCGCCGGGAGGTCGCGGCTGAGACTGCGGGGAGGCTGGAGGCGAGCTGAGCGCAGCGTCGCGGAGGTGGGAGGGGAAAGGGGGCGGGGACCGGGGCGGCCGCGGGAGGGAGGGGGTGTCGGAGGAGAAGGGAGAGGAGGAGGGGGTCAGGCGGGGAGGAGGAGGGGGGATCTGGGGAGGGTTTACAAGGAGGTGCGGGGCGGACCGGGCAGCCTCTCACCCCAGCGCCTCTGCCCCCAGCATTAGGAAAAATTCATGAGTGGGTTCACAAGAGATGTCTGTCCCTGTGCTAGCGTGCATCCCTTAAATAAGGTTAAGAAGATACTCCCAAGTGTGTGCTTGGATGGATTGGGGAGGGTGTTCGGGACTGCTTCTTTGAGTCCCAATCCCCCGGCTCTTAGACCCCAGCGTCTACAAGAACCAGGGGCGTTTCCCCAACCCCATCGCAAGCCTGTCTCCGCCCGGGACGCGCTCTCCACAAGGCAAATCCTGCGTCTCAGGCTCCTGCAGGCGCCCACATCCAAACTGAGGACCTGCGACCTGCCTTGGGCTGGGATCTGGGTCACCCTGTAAGCATCCCATGCGGCCTCCAGGGGGAGCGCGTCAGTTTCTGTCTGTCCTGAGGCTAGTAGGCTTTCTCTACTTTGGACGAGCCTCCTTTAAGATGTTTGCCCACCTCAGACCCACCAAAATTCTAATCACATCCTTTCTTACTCTCTTTATTCTCCTCCTTAGGAGAGGTGCTCCTTTGGGGTGGGAGCTGCGTAACGAAGGGGACTTCATTTATTCAACATCTACTGATCTTCTACTGGGTGGCAGGTCTGAAGCAAGATGGCACTGATAGAAAAATGAATTGAAAAACTTGGTGCTGGCCCTCAAGGAAGGAAGGTCAAATAAATGCACAAATATTTATAACACAAGGTCTTAGCATGTCCCATAAGACTTGGCTCAGTAGTGGTTTATTGCATTTCTCAAGTTTTTATTTATTTTTTTAAGCAATGAGATTAGAACATATATACAATTGTTTCCTGTTTTTCCACTTAGCATTTTCATTTAGGCGCTTACCCATATAATTAAAATCTATTAATAAATTTTATCTGATATAAAACAGTTAGTTCTGAAGCTCTCTGTCTCCCCAGTTAGATCATAATCTTCAAATGCATCTTTGAATCACCACCCTCTACCACAAGGGCTGGCATATAACGGCTGCTGATTATGTGCCGAACTTAAAAAGTTTACTGGTGAAATGGAGTGTGGGGAATTGAGAGGGGAAGCCCAGAACTCAGAATGGGAAGTCCCATCTGACACTAAACAGATATGCCCTGGGCCTCAGCCTCTTCATCAGTAAATTGAGAAGGTTGCACTGGAGGAGTTCTACAGTTTGTACTTCTCAAACATTTTGGGGGATTCTAGCACTGCATAAATCCAGGAGGATTTAGTGTGGACGCAGGTCTGATTCCTCTAATTCTGTCAGCACCCCTGTTGACATCACATAAAGCCAACTTCATTCAATGCTCTCACATTTTCAGGGCCCCCTTCCTGAGCCTTTTGCCGCAAGCCATCTTTTTTCCCCCAGTTTTACCGAGATGTAATTGACATGTAATATTGTGTAAATTTAAGACGTACAATGTGATGATTTGTTACACATATAGCGAAATGTTTACCACAGAAGGTTAGTTAATACATCCTTTACTTCACATAATTACCATTTTTTAATTGTTTTTATGGTGAGAACATTAAAGCTTTACGTTCAGAGTAACTTTCACAATACAATATTGTTAACTATAGTCATCAAGCTGTGCATTAGACCCCTGAAACTTATTCATCTTATAACTGAAAGTTTGTGCCCTTTGACCAACTTCTCCCCATTTCCCACATCCCTCACCGCATTGAGTATTCCTGGCTCTCTTTTCAAATACTGGTTTACTATATATGTGTTGGTTTATTTCTGGGCTCTTGATTCTGTTCCATTGGTATATGCATCTGTTTTTGATGTATAGATATTTAACTAGATTGGTTAAATTTATTTCTAAGTATTTTATTATTTTGGATGTTATTGTAAATGGGATATTTTATTTAATTTTGTTTTCAGATAGTTCATTGTTTGTGTATAGAAACACAACAGATTTATGTAGGTTGATTTTGTGTCCTGAAACTTTAGGATAGTTTATTAGGTCTAAGGGTTTTTTGAAGTCTGGAATTTGCTCTATACTGTACTACTCTATACAAGATAATGTCATCAGCAAACAGAGACAATTTTACTTCTTCCTTTCTGATTCAGATGTCCTTTTTTTTTTCTTGTGCCTAATTACTCTAGCTGAGACTTCCAGTAGTATTCCAAACAAGAGTGGTAACAGCCTTTATTATTTATTGCTGTGGGCCTTTATGATGTTGAGGTATGTTCCTTCTATACCCAATTTTTTGAGAGTTTTTATCATGGAAGGATGTTGAATTTTGTTAAATGCTTTTTCTGCATCTATTGGAGTGATTGTATGATTATTGTCTTTCTATTAATGTAGTGTATCACGTTTATTGATTTGCATATGTTGAACCATCCTTGCCTTCCAGGGATAAATCTCACTTGATCATGATGTATGATCCTTTTAGTATGCTCTTGAACTCAGTTTACAAATATTTTATTGAGAATTTTTACATCTATATTCATTAAGGACATTTACCTGTAGTTTTCTTGTGATATCCTTATCTGGCTTTGGCATCAGGGTAATGCTAGCCTTGTAAAATGAGTTTAGGGGTGTTCTCTCCTCTTCAGTTTTTCTGAAGAGTTTGAGAAGAATTGGCATTAATTTTTAACGTGTTTAGCAAAATTCACCTGTGAAGCCATCTGGTCCTAGGCTTTTCGTTGTTGGAGGGGATTTATATGCTGATCCAATCTCCTTACTTGTTATTGGTCTGTTCAGATTTTCTATTTCTTCATGATTCAGACTTGGTAGGTTGTATATTTCTAGGAATTTATCCATTTCTTCTAGGTTGTCCAATTTGTTGGCATATAACTGTTCATAATACTCTCTTATGATCCTTTGTATTTCTGTGGTATCAGTTGTAATGTCTCCTTTTTCATTCTGATTTTATTTGAGTCTTCTCTCTTTTTTCTTGGTAAGTCTAGCTAAAAGTTTGTCAGTTTTGTTTATCTTTTCAAAAACCCAACCTTAGTTTGAGTAAAATTTTCTATTTTTTTCTAGTCTCTATTTCATTTATTTCTACTTTGTTATTTTCTTCCTTCGACTAATTTTGGGCTTAGTTTGTTCTGATTTTTATAGTTCCTTGAGGTATAAAGTTAAGTTTGCTTGAGAGCTTTCTTTTTTCTAAATGTAGGTATTTATTGCTATAAACATTCCTCTTAGCACTGCTTTTGCTGGATCCCATAGGTTTGGGTATGTTGAGTTCTTATTTTCATTTGCTTCAATATATTTTTGACTTCCCTTTTAATTTCAACTTTGACCTATTTGTTGTTCAGAAGTGTGTTGTTTAATTTCCACATATTTGTAAATTTTCCAGTTTTCCTCCTGTTATTGATTATCCCCCCGCCACATGTTTTTGATGTCACATTATACATTTTTATATTATGTATCCATTAACAAATTACTGTAGCTATAAGTTATCTTTAGTTCTTTTGTCTTTCAACCTTTATACTAGACCTAAGTGGTTAACACATCACCATATCACAGTATTAGAGTATTGTGAATTTGGTAATTCAGATGTGTGTTGTTTATTTCTGTATGTTGTCATGTTTCTAGTTGGCAGTCTTTCATTTCAACATTTCTTGTAAGGCAGGTCTAGTGTTAATGAACTCTCTCAGGTTTTGTTTGTTTGCAAAAGTCGTTATCTTGCGTTCACTTCTCAAGGACAATTTTGTTGAGTATTCTTGGTTGGCAGTTTCTTTCTTTTTTTTTTTTTTTTTTTTGCGGTACGCGGGCCTCTCACTGTTGTGGCCTCTCCCGTTGCGGAGCACAGGCTCCGGATGTGCAGGCTCAGCGGCCATGGCTCACGGGCCCGGCCGCTCCGCGGCATGTGGGATCCTCCCGGACCGGGGCACGAACCCGTGTCCCCTGCATTGGCAGGCGGACTCTCAACCACTGCGCCACCAGGGAAGCCCAGGCAGTTTCTTTCTTTTAGCACTTAGAATATCATCCCATTCTCTCCTGCTCTGCAAAGTCTCTGATAAGAAATCTGCTGAGAGCCAAGTGCAGAGGTGTGCACTGGCGCCAGCCCCAGGGGGGCATGGTAGCTCATTGGCTCAGGCCACTGGGGTCCACAGAATTGACTTGGTGAGCACTACAAGAGGTCTTAAGAGGCTGCAAGGAGTCTTAAGAGGTTGTTTCGCTCCCCAGCAGCATCTCCAGGTCCAGCAGCTAGGGACCGGGGCAAGTACGGGTAGTGGCCAGAGCCAGTGATACACACACACTTGGCTGTGGGGGACCAGCTGTAGGCACCTGTGTAGTGGCAGGGGGGGTTGGTTGCCAATGTACACGTAGTGGTGGGGGCCAAGGCAGGCAGCAAGGGCCGGGGCCAGTTACTGGTGCACTGGCAGCTGCGGAGGCCCTGGCTATCGGCGTGCGTGACTGTGGCTGCTGGCTCTTGTCATGGGCACACGGCAGTAGAAGGTGGTGATGGAGGTTGGGCCTGGAGCATGCAGGTGCACTGGCTGCCTGTGAGCATAGTGCAAGCATGTGACGGAAAGACAAGGCCAGATCTGGGCCCACCAGCAGCTGCAGGGGCTCTGACTTCGGGCGTGCTTTTCCATGTCTCACCGTCTGCCCCCCATGCGTGCACATGACAGTGAAGTCTGGTGATGGATTGCATGCGGATGCACAGCTAGAGGGACTAGCCGTGAGCACGCACACAGTGGTACTGGTCGGTCTCTGGGATCTAGGCTGGTGTCATGTATTCTGGCA